GATATTTGTAGCTAGTGAGAGACAGGAGTCTAGTTTCAATTCTTCTGAATGTGGATATCCAATTTTCCCACTGCATTTATTGAAGAAAATTTCCTTTCCCCATTGTATAGTCTTAACTCCTGTGTCAAAAATCATCTCACTGCCATGCGTGACGTTACCTCTGGGCTCCCTAAAATCTGGGTTCCTACGAATTGCATTGGTCTATATATTTTTTTAAAAGGGCATTACCCATATTATTTTGATTACTATACAGTAGCTTTGCAGCGCACCTTCAGGTCTGGTTGTGTGATGCTCCCAGCTTTTGTTCATTTTACTCAAGATTTCTTTGACTACAGGGCTACTAGGCTTCCATACGATTTTCAAAATTATTATGTTTTGACTATGTAAAGAAGGACATTGATATTTTGAAGGGGATTGTCTTGATTCTGTAGATAATTTTTGTTACTACAAACTTTAGTAATAATGATTTGTCCAATTAATGAACATGGGATCTTTCCATTTATCCGTAACTTTTTAAATTTCTTTCATCAGTGTTTTGTAGTTTTCATTACAGAGATCTTTCTTCCACCTCTTTGTTAAATTTGTTCTTAGGCTTGTCTGTAGCTACTGCAAATGGAACTGTTTTCTTGATTCATCTTGCAGATACCTAATTATTAGCATATAGAAATACAAATAACTTTTGAGTATTGACTTTGCATCCTGGAATATTACTGAATTTAATAGTTCCAACTTTTTTTAGCAGTCTTTTGGGTTTTCTACACACAAAACGATGTCATCTGCAAACAAGGACAACATGACTTCCTCCTTCCCAATTTGGATGCCCTTTAATTCTTTGTCATGCTTAATTCCTCTGGCTATGACTTCCATTACTATGTTGAATAAAAGTAGTAAAAGTGAACAATCTTTTCTTGTTCTAGATATTAAAGAAAAAGTTTTCACTTCAAAAGCTTCTCTACTCAGTATGACATTAACTATAGGTTTGTCATGTACAGCCCTCACTATGCTGAGATATTACATTCCTATGTAATCTGTTCATTTTTTTCCATGATGTGAGACTGAATTCTATCAAATGATTTTTGTGCATCTATTGAAATGACCACATGGTTTCTCATACTTTATTTTGTTAATGTCTTGGGTGCATTACATTTGCTGATTTGCATGTTTTAAGCCATCTTAATATTCTAGGGCAGAGTCCCACTTGATCACAGCGAATGACCTTTTAAAGGTACTATTAAATTCAGTTACCTAACATTTTGTTGAAGAGTTTTGCATCCATGTGCATCAGGTATGGTGGCCTATACAAGCAGTACCTTGGTTCATGAACTTAATTCATTCCATGATTCTGGGAAGAAGGGCACATTCATGTTTGTGTGGGGAAGATGGCTGGAGTCGTGTGCCTCACTGAATGCAGAGTTGATGAATGAGGGATTTTGCCGAATGCTTCTGTTCAAGAAACAAATTGTTCACAAACCAACTTATTCGTAAACTGCAGCATTTGTGAACCAAAGCACTAGTGTATCTTTGTCTGCTATTGGTATCAGCATAATGCTAGCCTTCTAGAATGCATTTGGAAGGTCTCTATCCCTTCTAACTTTTAATAGTTGCACAAAAAAATGATATTAATTTTCCTTTCATTGTTTGGTAGAATTCTGTTGTGAAGCTATCAGGCAATGGGCTTTTCTTTGGTGGAAAAAAAGTAAATAGCCATCTTTATTAATAAAACACTTTATTAATAGTCATGGTGCCAAAAGTAATCATTTATTACTGACTCAATCTGATCGCTCATTCTTGGTCTGTCAAGTTCTCTATTCCTTCGTGATTCAATTTTGGTAGTTTGTATGTGTTCAGGAATTTGTCCATTTCTTCTTCTACTAATTTTTTCTTGTTTTTCTTGTTCTTTGAGACACACTGTCAAGTTTTCACTTCAGATTTTTCTACTTTTTTGATGTAGACATTCATTGCTATGAACTTTTTCTGTATCCCATAAGTTTCGATATGTTGTTTTTCCATTTTTAGTCATCTCAAGAAACTTAAATTTGTCTTTTAAGTTCTTCAATCTCCTATTAATTGTTCAGAAACATGTTTTTTAATTTCCATATACTTACATTATTTAAGGATTTCCTTGTTTTATTGACTACCAGTTTCATTCCATTGTAGTCAGAAAAAGTACTTGAATTATGCTATGCAGTTCAGGCTGGACTTGAACTAACTTTGTGGCCCAGGCTGATCTCAAACTTGCAGCAATCTCCTACCTCAGCCTCTTGAGTGCTGGGATTATAGGTGTGCACCACCACACCCAGCTCCATTGTCTTATCATACAATTTTTTTCTTATTTATAAAAGCAAGAATGTGATTATATTTTTTTATCAAGTGGAACAAAAGTTCTTGAATCCCTATAAAAATCTATCAATACTCATGACACAAAATGTGCAGCTTTAGATATAAACTCTGAACACGGTTTTACATCAAGCACCAAAATTGGGCTGGTAACTATGGAAAAGAGTGGTAAATAACACTAGAAGTAAACTAAATTCAGAAATTCTTAGATATGCTTTTCCAAATTAATGTATTTAGTATTCACTAAAGAGTATAGCTCTTACTTCTTGAACTAGCTAAAACAGATATTCTCCATTAGAGTGGTAAAAATACAAAATGTGAAAGTATCTCTGTCCATCTTCACAATTCTAATGTTCACAGAATGCAAATAGTTTCATACCATGGGAAAAAGTAACTTTTATACCTATACAAAAATAAAGCTCTGAAATAACTGCCATTTAGACTCTAGCTGACAACAGCAATTTTGGCAAAACATCACCATAAGGGTGTCTTGAAACTAAACACATAAATTCTAAAACATTATTTTTTCACTATTTAAATTTTACAAATAAATCCCATAGGAACCAAAAAAATTTTTTACATTAAACCTTGTAATTAGATTTTACTTCTTACAAAGTACATTTGTATTTTTTCTCAAAATTATCAAACAATTACAAAAATGTTTAATAGTTGCATAGCACTTTGCATATTGCAAAGCATGTATTCACTGATTGATTCCAATAAAAATCCTACAAAATATTATACTTACTACTTCCTAAAATACAGAACATGTAAAAATTTAGGGCTGAAAATGAAACACGACTTTTCAGACTTCAAGTTCAATATTCTTTTCATTGTTCTATTATTTCACTCTTTTGTCCTGTTCTTTAAAATCCATCATTACTTTATGTTCTCCTCCCTTGGGACACCTGTCACCTCTTTTATACAGCTTTTATAATCTAAAACTGGATTACAAACTCCTTCCTTAGAATGGTAAGCACTCACTAAATAGATGAGTGCTTTCATCTTTAATAGAGATATTTGCAAGAATTTATTGATAGAAGGAAGCCAAAATCTTCAACTGTGAACTTAAACCACTGTCTCACTTTCAAATGCCGGTAATAAAAAACAAGTGATGATTTCCAAGTTGACTCTTTTCTTTCTGTCTCCAAGAATATTAATTTAGATTTTTATAGTTACATTGTACATTAGAAGTGGTAAGAAGAGAAATATTTTAGACTTCATGTGTAATGTATTTCAAAAATGGCGACATTTAGAGCTTTAAAAACAGAAGGAAATATTCACATAAATTGTAGTTAGTTTACACTTTATGATCTTTCCTTCTGTACTGCCCACATGGTCAACAGGGTGGGTTATCTATAGGCGTACTTTAAAGGCACATATAAATAAGAGCTTGTCAAGGAAATAATGATCAATATAGCATTAGAAATAGGAGAGTTTCTCAAACACCAGATTACATATATTAAAGTTGGCAAATATGGTCATAAAGTGGAGTTCTGAATACTGTGCATAGTTAACAAAAAGTATCAAAATTACAACACATATTTAAGTGGACTCTAAAATTCATTTAAACCCAGCATTCATTTTCATTTAACTACAATTACTAGATCTGAATGTACTAAATGCTACTGAATAATACATTTTCAAATGATTAATTTTATGGTATATGAATTTCACCTCAAAAACATACATACATTATATACATATATAATATATATTACATGCATATACTATATATTATATACTATATAATACATATATGTATATATGTTTATATTTGTTACCAATAATATATGTATATATGTTACTAAGTTACAAAAAAAAAACCTATGCATTTCATCCAGTGATCATGCTCACTTTTTCTCGAAAACAATTAGTATCACTCTCATCTCTGGACACAAACTAAGATCCTGGAGTCATCCATCCTGAAAATGCATGCCATGTGAAATGAGGAAAGTAAAAAATGACAGGTCATCAATTATTTTGAATGCCAAAAAATTATCATTGAAAACATCTCAATTAAAAAGCAAAAATTTTGAAATTATTCTTTATCTGGTTAATGTTCTATAAAGAAAAGGAAGCAAATAAAGAGTTATTTCAACACTCAACTTTCCAAAATAATTTAGCATTAGAATAAGCAATGTGAATAGATTTTTAAAATTCTTCACCAAAGAGAAAAAAATGTCCTTAATAAATCATAAGACTGATTCAACTGCTACTGTTCCACATATTAAGGAATTTTATCACTATTTAATAAAATATTTCTTAAAAATGTCTCATAGCACCATTTTAAAAGCATTTCAAGGGACATTCTCAAAAATACAAGTTTTATACCTTTAAATTTGCATATTTAAAGAAAAAACATATGTTTACATTTTCATTCTTTATTTAAAATACCTTTACTTTTCAATATATTTCAAATACTGATATATTTAAGTTATAAATCACAAAAGCTATTTTAATGTAAAATATTTAAAATGTATATTTCCTTATTGGGCTTAACATATTAGTCAATTTTGAAGTATTATATCCAAGTAATTCTCAAAACAGTAAGTGCTAAACTTGAAGTGTTCAGGTCACTTATCATAAATCATTCATCATGACATTACAATTAACACAATGAACTAATCAAAACATACATAAAAACTAAACTGGAAACGTACATGAACAAACTGTATGATAAAGTGTCTCCTCTGTCCATCAGAATATACAGAAAGGACATATTCACCAGGTTTCCCATGACTCTCTCGCACCAGGAAGTCTCCTTGCTGTCTTAACAGTTCTTGGGCTTCTATTCTGGGAATCGCACCATGGTACCAGTCTTGCTCCGCCAGGGGCTTCTCACTCATGGCAATCATGTCAGAGTACTGAACAAATAGTTGTTAGAAAGCAAATTAGAGAAAATAATGGGCTTTTCCAGGTAAAAGTCATAGCAATTATAAACACTTCTTACACAAGCTTCTCCCTCACTTTAAAACCACAAAAAATCTGAAAGCTTAATAATTTTTAAAGAAAGTGTCTTCTGGAGCTCCTAGTACTGAAGAATGGCAAAAATATGTATCTTTCAATACTGTTACTTCCTCTGTCAGATACAGGTACATACAACATTAGCATTTACAGTTAGCATTATAGTTTTATTTACCATACCACAAAATTAATCTACATTATTAATCAGAGGAATTATAAAGAAAAAGGAATTACTATCAGGGAAACTTATCATAAAAATAACTTTATTTAAAGTTATTTCTCTCTCTGGAATAAACATCTGTTTACATAAGCTGTGAAGTGTCTGCTTCATGTGTTCCACAAGCACCATCTCAGGTTTGTTTTCTACCTTGCTGAATCTTTTTGCACTCATCTGACTTCCTTAAGCATTACTTCTGCCACATGGCTGCTCCTGCTCCTGCAGCAGTGGTAAATAAAGCCCTGGAGAAATATATCATTGAAACGCACCAGCAATTACAAACGCATGGCAAAACTGAGGGATAATTATAAGTGATGAATACATTAAAAAGGAAATTATCTGTTATTTTAAGAGGTCAAATGCTAACACCAAATAACAGAGACAATTAACAGCTGAATGTATTTCCTCAAAAACTTTCTAACTGATAGTAGATGTAATCATATTTCTCTGATCACAAGTGAAAAAGTTTTATTGTTGTATTTTACTTGCCCACAGGAACTAACCTAATCCAGATGGCAAGAGTACTTTATAATTAAGTTATAAAAATGAGCACTATCTCTTAAGAGTCTCAAGATATAATATGCATAATGCCTCTCAAGAAGGTAATTTATAAATTAAGAAGTCAGGATTACTGACAAATACCACAGTTGAAATTTGCAATGTCCCTCAATAGCCTAAGTGTTGAGAGTCTTGAGTGTGTGGCATTATTTGGAGGTGGTAAAACTTTAGTAGGTGGGGCATAGTAGAAGGAAGTTAGTTCACTGTGGTGTGTCCTTGGAGGGGATACCAGGACCCCAGGCTCTGGCTTAGATAAGGTGAGATGCTACCCTATCATGTACTTCCAGCATGATATACTATTACCACAGGCCCAAAAGCAATGGAGCCAACTGACCATGGACTAAAAATTATGAAACAGTGAGACAAAATAACCATTTTCTCCTTATAAGTCATTCACCTGTCATTTTATCACAGTAACAGAAAGCTGACCAATACAATAAATAAAGGGCAAGTATTCACATATGAGATATTATAGGCTGATATTATGATCTCCATGTAGAACAAAAGTACAGCTCTATATAGAACTCTACATAGGACAACATAGATATTTCTTGTAGTAAATGAAAATTAGTTTCGAACATGGCCTTTATTGCATAGTGCCACTGAGCAGACCCAAATCTTACTGTTCCAAGGCCCATTACACATTATGCAAAATTTGTTCTGTTGGTTAAAAAAATGCAAAGTTCCACACAGACCTTAAGAAAACAAGAGTATACACTTCCATTTTTACTTCTTCCACTTCTGACATTTTCTCACTTTAAAAAATACATACATTATATACATATGTGTGTGGAATATTTTATAAATGAGGTAAGCCTTTTTCTTTCAGTACTAATTATGATGATTCAAAAAAATTTTAACAGATTCTCGAAATAGTTTTAAAGAATAAATTACAAATGAAGCTGCTACAACTACAAAAGTTGAAAGAATACTGCTTTTAAGAACAGATGCACAGGAGGTTAGGGATGTGGCTCAGTGGTAGAGCTCTTGCCTTGCATGCACAAGGCCTTTTGTTCAATCTCCAGCACCACAAAAAATAAACAAATAAAAACAAATGCACAATTCATTCAAAATTAACTGTTCTGTATGCTGAAACTAATAGTTTATAATTCTTAAAGAAGGTAGTCAAAATAATCTAATAATTCTTTTCTAAAATTTATCACAGGGCACCAATTCATAGTAAGTACAAAATTCTTTACTACAATTGAAATATTTCCAAGTCTTCCAATGGCAAATGTGATTGAATATAAAAATTCCTGATAATATTTGTGCAAAGATATTTTTATCATTGCATCAAAAAGAACTATATAACAAGAAAGCATTACAACACAAGGAAGGATGTCATGTGCTTGATTGCTTATCAAAGCTTATCTATCCTTCCAAACCTACATTTATTTAGAACTGGAAGAGTGTAGAACTTGGAGGATTCATTAAGTCTAAAAGATGTCTGAAAGTGAAAATTCAGTTACACTCAAGAAACTGAAAGATTTTAAGATGATAAATGTATGCAGGAGAAAAAATCCTGAAAAAATCTAAGTTTTGTGTTTTGATTCTTGTTTTTAAAAAATTAAGTGAGAAGGAATCTCTATTGCTATGGCATTGAGATTAACTCCAGGTCTATAGGTTTATTACTTTGGGAGGACAGTTAAAGATGGGATGCTCAGATACCCGTTTTTCTCTATCTCCTAGACAATGCTATTAGGAAATTTAGTTTGAATTTATTGTGAATATATATCTGTACACACATACATATGGGAAAATCAGACACTCTAGCCTGGGTCTATCACATCTTTAAAAGACTTCCTTGGAAGCAGTGGAAGGCATATTTTTAATATGACTTATTTGAAATCCTAATAAAATTGTGTATTGTTGATAGTAAAAGAATGTAGAATGTATTGACAACAAAATCTAATATTAAGAGAGCTTACAATGGTATCAAAAATAAAAGGGTGTCTACCTCAAATATTCCATCTTTACTAGTCTCATTAGGGAAAGATTTTTTTTATCAGTATATGTTTCCAAAATATGATAGAAATTACAATCATCTAGGGGACTTAGTAGACATCCACAGCACATCTTTATCATTTTTACCCTCCTCCCCACTGCTCCTTCCTCTTCCTCCATCCTCAGATCCCCCTCCCATCTCCACAGAGTCTACCACTTTTCTACTATCTCCCTTTTATATTGCTTTTTAGGTTATTTCTATTCTGGTTTCTCACATTAAAGAAACTGTGATATTTAACCTTCTGTGTCTGATTTGTTTCACTTTACGTTATGGTCTCAAGGTCCGTTCTTTTCCAATACATGACTCCACTGTAACTTGCTTTCGGGGTGGGTATTAGTCCATTGTGCATGTATACCCCATTTTCTTTATTCATCTGTTGACAGGCATATATGTTGCTTCCCTAATTTAGCTGTTATGAACTGTGCCACTATAAACATGAGTATGCATGTATCACTATAATATAATGACTTTCCTTCTTTGGGGAAGATATCCAGAAAAAGTATAGTTGGTTTATATGGAAGTTCTGGTTTTAGTTTTTTAAGGAATCCCCATACTGATTTCCATAGTAGTGTATTAATATACATTCCCACCAACAATGTAAAGAGTTCATTTTTCCAGTAGGGAAAGATTTTTTCCTGGGGGGTAAGTTATCTAAGATTTTTGCCATCCATATACAGGATTGGAAATCCTTCATTTTTAAAATTACAGTTAATCTAATAAAGCTGATAAATGTTCCTAATTGACTGGATTAGCTATTTAGTTATTTCTGTCAGGTCCCATTCTCAAAAAGTCTTCTCGCAAAAACATACTGAGTTTAATGAAGTAAAGAAATTGATTTACATGAACAGGCAAGAAGGAATTACTAGAAAATGAAAATATTTTTTCCATAGGAAAAAAAGATCATTTTCAAATGCGTAAATGAAGACTTTATGTCTTTATCAAAAACATGGGAGTATGTGAGTAACAAGATGAACTTCTTTTGCAGAAGCAAAAACAAAAGTGTTAGGGAAAAAACACCCAAATTCCATATACTATTAACATTTAAAGCATCCAAATAACAAAAGTGCACACATACACACACACACAAAAAAAATAGAATAAATCATGGAAAACATGTAACTAAATCTCTTACTGACATTGAGCAACCAAATAAAACTTAAACACATTTTTAAAAATTTTCATGAATGTTAGTAATATACAAATGGCATGTAATTGTCTTTTCTTGTATCAATTTCATTATTAATTAATGGTAAAAGTAATATATTATTCCAAATCCAGCTTGGTAATATATGAGGTTAACTACACTTTACAGGATTCTAAATATATCTGAAAAGATTTCATAAGAGCTCTTTAATTTTAAAGCTATACATCATTTAGGAATCTTAGGAGAAGCAGAGTTTTGTATGTCACATAATAAAAAGTAAGAGTTATCAAACGTTCACAAAAAGTTGAAAATACCTGGTCGACTGAACAGAACTGTGCCTGGTGGTAGTGAAAACTATTTTCAGTGAAAGGGAGATATAGCCCCAGTAGAAAAGCTATATTATATATCAGTTAGAGTTTGATACTTGCACACAAAATGTTTAATATGAAATGAAAACAAAAAAAAGTTCTTGCTAGTTTTTTCCATATCTCTAAGTTTAAATTTATTGAATAAGTTAACTGTTAACTAATAAAAAAATAAAAAACTACTTTGGATATTTGGTCTCCAGGATCATTTAGATCCACACTAGACAAAAGAATGTAAATTAATTAGAAGTAGTTCTGTCTTGATTAGCAAAGGATTATCTGTAATTCTACATATTTTTGCAATAAAGTGTAATTCTTAATTTCTTAATGTGCTGATATTATTAACCAAAAGAAAGATATTCTGTCTAAAGTTTACTTTCCACAATGAAACTAGCAACAAAACTTTCACCCATAAATTTCTTAACTATTTTTTGTATTCTTTGAGAATGCATGTTGGGTTTTAGCTAATGATAAAATGGTTCTCTAAAATGGTGACTATAAAAAGTAAAGATGCCAATCACAAATTAGCATTCATATACAAATCTTTCCCTAACTTTATTAAACAAAGACAGACAAATCAGCCAAACTCAAATATTACTGATGTCCACAGTGTCTCATTTCCTAGACTGCCCTTCTGTGTACCTTCTCTGATAAGAGACACTATCTTTATAAAATATATTTTTCTAAGCTTTCATTTCTGTTCTAACACTTCTGCTTCCCTTAATACTTTCTAGTTTCCTCTGACTTCTTTATTTCCAACTACTACAGTTCCTCCACCCATTTTTCCTTGTTTAGTAGTTACACTCTTTTCGATATTATGTTTATGCATTTACTTTTTTCAAGTGTGCTTCTGACTCTCATTCATCCATTCTCATCATTGCTATCATTTTTGTTAGTCTCATTTTTTCAGGATCAAATATTCTTCCTTTAAACTCATGTATTTTATGTTTAAAATGTGACACAATATAAAAAATAACACATTTTCATCAATTAAGTATAGTCAGAGTTACTTTCATACCACATATTTCAACAGAAATCACTCCCAGATCATCACAATGAATCAGTATACAATCATATTTTAGTAAAGGTAAACATTTACATTAGTTTCGGATTGCCTCATAGCACATAGTATCTGACTAAGAAGATCTGTGTAACCGTGTTAAGTATTTGAGCAAACAGATTTGGTCTCTCAGAGTAAAAATTACAGAAAATAAACCCCACTATGCCCTTCTTGGAAATTAAATAGTATAATTTAAGTGACTCAAAATATGCAATTCAGAGAATAGTATTTAATTTTCTTAAACATAACTACACAGAATTTAGTGTATGGCTGTGGTATAATGCAAAAAACTTTATTTTTTCTTGTTTCTTTCTACATTTTAATGACTGGGGGAAAGTGTAAATCAAGACCTTATTTGATAAGAACTAAGGTTTAAAATGTATAATATCTAACTTGAACTTGGTGTGTCTTGTTAGAGGAAATTCCAGGTTACTCTGCTAGACTCAAAGTGAACACTGAAAAATGCAAGTAGCTTGTTATGTATGAAAATAGCTAACTGCACTGCCTTATGATGATTGGGAATGTAGTTATTATAATACTGGCATTATAACTGATATACAACTCAAACATAGCTGAAGAAAAACTTTCTAAAACGCTAGCAACAAATTCTTTTCATGATATTATTATATATGAAAAGAAGCAAATGTTTGCAATATTTTAATTTTCTAAATTCTAGCTCAAAGTGCTATAATTCCAAAATTAACATGTCAATAGAAAAAATGAATTTAAGGAGAAAGAGTTGAATAACAGTATTTTTTGATGTTTAAAAAACAAATAACAAATCATTTGGATATGCTTTTTGATTTTAAAGAACATTTTTCAAAAAGTGCTCCTATTAGAGGAGCATTACACATTCCACATACCAGTGACAACTAATATTCATGAGTGGGTATAAAACGGAAATGGGCATTTTCTTAGCCACTCATGATAAAATTGTGCAGTAAAGAGATAGCTCTGGAGAAAGGGCAGCATTCTTGGTATCACTAGAATAGATTTTATTAAATATAGTATGATTCCAAAAGTTCCAACTCAAATGCATCATCATGATCACAGTAACCATCCCAAGGGTACAATTAAAACCATCCAACACCTCTGGTCTTGACTTTAAAAGCAGCCCCTAAGAAAGAGTTCTCAATGCAAAATTATAACCTTCTAAAGATGGGAAGATGCTAGATGTGGAGTCTACCTCAGTGCTCTGAGATGCTAATGATAGGTTATTTAGCTTTTTAGTATTATAAAAAAAAAAGGCACATGCTCAAAGCTAATATAACACATTAAATACTACCCTAATAATGTGACCAAACATTAAATATCTGACATATCAAACACAATGTATAGCTAAATCCAAATTTTTATCAGTTAATTTTTTTTCTATCAAGGTATGTGTCCCACGATAACTCTACATTTTAACCACACTGTCAGAAACATAGGTATGGCAACTAAGAATACTATTATGATTAACTCTAATTTTATTTTCTTATGTATAACATATTTTCTTTATCTAAGATAATATTGTAAAATTCCAATTTTAATATGTTCATTTGAATAAAGAAATGGCAGTTGATAATTATTGCTTTTTTAATATTTTAAATAAATATGTTTTCATGTGCAAAAGAATGAATATGGATCTCTACCTTACTCCATTAAAAATAATTCATGATGTTTCCAAATTGTAAATATAAAAGTCAAAATTATAAAACTCTCAGGAGTGAAAAAATAACCTTGAATTGGACAATAGATTTTTCAGATATGACACAAAAAGCCCAATAAAATTTTAAAAATTATTCTGCATCAAAATTAAAAACTGTTTTTGTGCCAAGGATACTCTCAAGACAGTAAAAGCACTAATCCATAGAATGGGAAAAGGCATTGGCAAACTGTATGTGTGATAAGACGCTTATTTCCAGAATACATTGAAAGAAAACTCCTTGTTATATGTTATTTCTGGATGTACCCCTCCGCCAAAGCTTCATGCACTTATAAGTGGGGCTTTTGGGAGGTAACTGGATTATGCGGGTATGGCACTCAACAACAGATTATCCACTGGTGAGTTTATAGCTAAATGTGATGTTGGGAGGAGGTGAGTCACTAGGGGCATGACCTGGAAAGGTATCATCTCCCACCCTCCTCTCCTGGTCTCTCTCTGCTTCCTGCTGCCATGCCATGAGCTCTTTCTCCTCTGTCATACCACCCCGCCTTGGAGCCAGCCAACTATATATAGACTGAAACCTCTATAAATTGTGAAAACCTTTCATCCTTACAGTTGTGGGTGTTGGGTATTGTGTCTCAGCAAGGAGAAAGTACCTATGGCACCTATAATTCAACGATTGATAAAAACAATTCAAGGCTAGACATATAGCTTAGTGCTATAGTGCTTGTCTAGCATGCACAAAGCTCTGGGGTTTAATTCCAGCACAATAAAAAACATACAAAAAATTTTAAAACATATCAAGGATGTGAACAAATATATCCACAAAGAACATATATAAGTGGCCAATAAGCACATAAAAATACACTCAACATAATTAGTCATCAGTAAAATGCAAATAAAACACACATTACTTTATATCTACTAGATTGCCCATAATTTTTTAAAAACGGAAAATAAAAAGTATTAGCTGGCAAGAATGTGAAAAAGAATATTCATATATTGCTAGTGGAGATGTAAAATGGTAGACACAGCGGACAACCCTAGTCAGTTCCTCCAAAATTTAAATATAATATTATCGTTTGACCCTGTAATTCCAGTGCTAGGTATACTACCAAAAGAACTGAAAACATGTTCATTTAAATATATGTATATGAATGTTCACAGCAACATTTTTTGTAATGGCCAAAAAGTAGAAATAACACAAAATTATATCAGCTTATGGGTGAATAAACAATATCTAGTAAATCCACACAACCAAATATTACTTAATCATCAAAAGGAACGAAGTATTGTCATACTCTACAAAAGGGATAAACCTAGAAGACAGGATGATAAATACAAGGAACTGGACAGAAAAGGCCACATGTTTTATCTATATCTACAAAATGTCTAGAATATGTAAATCCGCAGGGGTGGAAAGTAGAAAACAGTTGTCAGAAATGGAGTGAGGTGTTGGTAGGGATTAACTCTTAATAGCTATGGAATATCTGTCCAAGAAGACTGAAACTTTTTGGCATTAGACAGTACTGAGGGGCCAGGATACAGTTCAGCAGCACAGTGCCCTCCTGGGAAGTATGAGGTTGCAAGTTTGATTCCCAGTATAAAAAAAACAGTGTTGAGGTTACACATGATAGTAAATATACTAAAAACCACCAGGTATATATTTTAAAAGATGAATTTTTTTGTTAAGTATATTACAATAAAATGAGTTTAAAATGTGAATTTTATGTTATATAAAACATATCACAATAAAATAAACAACCTTAGTATGATAATGTGGCATGTTTTTAAGGACTTTTTATTAAGAAAAAATGATTTAAAGTAAATAAAATATTTTTCTTCTATTTTACCTTTACTAAATTAGAACACCCTGAAAAATATTATCTCAAAAGAAAGTTTAAAGTTTTTAAATTGTTATGCAACCTGGATTATCATGCTTACCATGAAATGTTTACATTCACATTAAGACTCAAGAGTTCAGTTACCTGAGTTCTTTGAGAGAAAAACTTCCTTTTCCAAAAAAATAGGATATTCAGTGCCTTAGAGAAATATTCCATGCTCTTGTTCATAGCACATTTTCTTTGGCCAAATTCCTGTTACCAGAATTAACTAGAATTCTATATACCACTATGACATGCCAAACTAAAATTTCAATTAATCAAACAAGTTTTAATTTTATAATCAAAATGTTCTTTAAAATATGAACACATTAAAAAACTGACACATTTTAAAACACATATGCAGTAATGCCAGTTATAAAAATGTTACATTTCACTGGAGAAGAAATTTAACATTAACACTGTTCTAAGGCTCCAAACTACATAATAATTTCCTATAATTATTTATATATAATATAAGAAGTCTAGAACATAGCAGTGACTCATCTATGGCTTTACTTTCTGCAGTTTTAGTTACATGTGGCCAGCCATAACATTATCTCACATCGTCATAAGAAGAAAATGAGTGTAGTATTTTGAAGGAGAAACAGATCATCATTTATATAGCATTTACCACAATATAGTGTTTTTATTTTATTATAATTGCTTACTGTAGCTAATTTATATATTAACTTTAAGATAGTTAAATATGTATGGTAAAAAACTATAGTATATATAAGGTTTGATGCTACCCACAGATTCTGGCACCCACTAAGGGTCTCAGATGTATACCTTGCAGATAAGCAGGATCTACTGCATTAGATTATTTCTGTCCTCACATCTCGGTTACACAAGGTTTTGCTATGTACATGTATGCACATATTCATATACATACAAAAAGTTAAAGCTTTAATTATCTGTTCGCTGAAATATATTTTATTTCAAACAGTAATCTACCTCAGACAGAAACTAGACAGTGGCCATTTCAGCAGCACATAGAGTTAATCTTACTTACTGATGAATAGCTCAGTGCAGATTTTGGAGACCTGATTATTCCAGCAATTGAATGACGAATAGACTCAAATTTGGATAGTCTGTCTTTTCTTTCCTGGAGGGATTAAGAAACAAGCCTTCAGTAATAGCATTTAGGTATTTTTGCTATCATATTTTTCAACTAAATCAAATATAAGCTTCCTGACTTCAAGGACAACATATAATCAAATATGTGTAAACTGTAGAATTTTATTTTCCTGAAATTTGGGAAAAATAAAAAAGAAAATCATAAAGGTGAGGAAAAAAACAAGAAATGCAAAGGAAATTCCAGAAAAATCAAATCTTTGAATAGCCTACAGAAAAAGAAACATAAGCTATAAAGAACTAGCACAATACAGAATATTTCAGATAATACTCTAATTATGAGAAATTTTCAAATAAAAATAAGGAAGAAGGGGATTTATATGGGACATACTTTTCATAGTGAATTGCACTTAAGCATCTAATAAGTTTCCCAAATATTCACATTACAGTGATGAAAATATGATGATCATAAAGATGACAGTCATGGGGGGGAATAATAAGGAAATAATGGCAAAACTGCCACTAAGAAAAGTCAATCCAGATCACTATTTACTTTAGGATGTGTATTTCTGAATACCATATAACATAACTGAAAGGAAAAACTTTTCCTTAAAATTTCAAATCTTCTGATCCATTTTAAAATCCTAAGAAATGGAATACGCAAGAGAGTAGAAAACAAGAGAAAAAGAACAAAACGGAGAACTAGGTGGCAAGAACAACGGGAGAGCATGTGTGGGAGTTTCTAATAGAAACACTGGTCAGTTTTCCAATAATGACCACATTTCAACTGTTAAACGGCAGCTGACAAAAGAACAAGGGATCCTGTTGTCAAGCACATGTCCACATGTCTTCCATCAGCAGTGATGCTCAATTTTACTTATGGTAAAAAAAAAAGCAGGCCATGAATAATATCTTTTGTTTCCTTTGTCTCCAATTTCTAGGCTATGTCTCTGAAGTAGTAAATACAAACCTTCTTGACCACATGAGACAGTGCAGTTTCTGAAATTCAACTTTCACCTCTCCACTTCTCTACTCCCACTTTATTAATTTTTCCCTCTATCATTTGCAATACTAATAGTTCTGAATATTCTATGAACATATGCATATTAATCACTTAGCAAGCTTAGGACACTTCTAACAGAATAGATGATTCTAATTTCTTTTCCATCTTCACATTACTAACTTGATTATAAAGCCATGTAAATGACTATCTCTACATCAACTTTATTGTGTATAAAATAAAAATACAAACCATCCTCAAAGAGCTACTACAAATAATTACTACAAATGATTAAAAATTAACACCTTAAAAGCAGATATATATTTAAAAATGGATTTTTTAGAAAATAAACCTTTACTGTGGTACACATAATCATCCTGTTAGCAATGTGAGTCCTCACTCTACACCCACAGTGCAAATTATAATTCCAGTTCTAAAAAACCACCATAACTGAGGCACAAGAAAGGCTACAGAAAGACAACCATTAAGCACACAAGGACAAATGGGACCGTTCTTAAGCGTCCATCTTCCTCAATGTAGATGGGGTTTTTGTTTTTCTATGTTTGTTTTTGTTTGCTTTTTAAAAATCTTTTTCAGGTGCTTCAGAAGTCTTCTGGAATTTAAAAAAACTGTTAAAAATACAGCAAAGTTATAAAAAAAGTAGAGAGTATGACATATATAATTATTCTGTAATTAATTTCTAAAAAATGTATTACAATATTGTGAAGCACACATATTGAAAAGCACATATACCTTTTTTCTTAAAGGAGAAATTTCTCCCCCGGCAGTGTGTGGGTGTAGAAGTAGCCCCTTGTTGCTACAAGAGCTCACAGAAAGATGACATGGAAGTGCTAATCTCGCCCATCTGGCAATGAAGACTTCACAGGAAAGAAGTGTGAATTTAGCTCAGTCAATATTAAAATACTAGTGGGAACATTGTTCCAGTGTGAGAGTACAAGGAAAACATATCTGGGAGATTATATAAAAAAAAAGAGAAAAATCAGGGAACAGTTTTAAGTATTAAAAACCATTTCATTTGAATATGAGGATTGGGGATGTAGCTCAGTGTTAAAAGCACTTTGCCTAGAATGCGTGAGGGTCTGCGTTAATGCCCAACACCACACACGCGTGCACACACGCACCCACACACACGCACACACACCCTTCATTTATATATGAAACAGTTATACACAGTGAGATGGTAAAAACAACTCTCTCAAAATTATACCTTGGGTATCACATTCTAGAAAAGGTAAGAGAATCCTTCCCCGCTCCCAAAGCCTTTACCCTTCCCTTAACGGAGTAATGCTAGAATTACCTAATGGATTAGGATAATTTAATGGATAATCCCATATATGGGATTAAAGAAGACTTCAAAAAAATCTCTCAACTTACATTAAATTCATAATATATTGTGCTTAAAAGAAAATAAATAATGAAAATATCCTTTCTTTTAAAATAGCCTGATCTTTAAAATATTATCAGAAATAATAAGACCTTGAGTTTCACACAGGGACAATCAAACTGCAAATAGAGTTCATAAAACTTTGTAATCAATGTCAGCTCACTTAATGCCTAGATTTCTGCAAGTGAAACACGAAATTCATTTGCCAAAGCTCCTATCCATATAATATTAAATACCAGATTTAAATTATAGCCTACCTAATAATACATAGACTATTAACAGGTTGATTTTTACATGGAAGAATTAGATGACTACTTTAAAAATTAAAATTAAATGCTTCCCTTCGTTGATGATGGCCCAGTGCTTAACTAAGCCTGTTGCTGCACAAGGGCTAGTTATGATATACTCATTCTCACTTAGCTCCAGGAAAGACAAAATAACAGGTTTCTCTAGATAAAGGGAGACACACAGAGACCAGCTCTTGCAAAAGAATGGCTCCTCACAGCACACACAGTTGGCACCAGTGAAGGAAGGCAGGGAGAGGGAATGCCACAGAAAAACACCTGATGTGATGACATAATATTCTGAAGAGATGCAAAAAGTGGCGTAATATCTCTCATTTAAGAATAGTTTTTTTATTATTTTTAAATTAAATATATAAAATATGGTTTCTCTGATATTACATATATAAATCAGTCTCTCTGATATTGTTATGTCCCTGATAATAATAATAATGTCATAATAACATAGTATCAGTCAGACTGTTCCATAATAACTATACATTAACCTATTATCAATATTATAAAAAAGCTAAATTACTTAAAGCAAAATCATACCTATCACATTTTTTGAAATTAACTTTTCATTAGAATTTACAAATGACAGTATACCAAGTTACCTCCACCCTGGCCCACTGTAGCACAGGCAAAGACATAAAAGGCAAAAAATGAGGTTTTGCTGATTGAGGTGATTTCAACAAAGAGCTCTACCATATGACTAGCTCTGACAATAAGTGAAAACAACTTTAACTACATGGATAAAACAATTCTCAAAGCAAGGCTCTTAAAGGAGGGCTTTAAGGTAGAAAGAGTGAGGTTCGTTATATCAGAAGGAACAAAGAGTATGAATCTGAGCAAATCACCTGTCAGTTTCCACTCCAATAAATAGGAAGGAGTGTTTCAAGTCTTCATTTTAAAAAACCTATGACTATTACCCAACTCCCCATAACTGCAAGGCACAGATTATTGATGAAAGCCCCACAGAAGAATTCCTACTAGGCCAGCAACCACAATCTCCTCCCCTAAAGCACCGGTCCCCTTTCACCTGAGGTGCTCACAGAACATAAAACAAGGAGAAGAACAAACTATCACAAAAGGTGCCACCAGGACACTTTTTTGTTAATAACAAGTCATTAAAACAATAACCAAATATTATTTCCCAAAGACTTCTTTAATAAATCCAATCTGGTAACATTCTTACAACAATGAAAGTGATTATTTAGCTCTATAGGAACCATCAGATACTCAAATCTGAAGGCAATAAGAATCAAAGAGAAAAGGCTGGGCACAGTGGCACACACCTATAGTCTCAGCACTCAGGATGCTCACATGGGAGGATTGCTGCAAGTTCAAAGCCAGCCTGAACTACACAGTAAGACCCTATCTCACCTCAGAGGGTGGGGGATCACGCAGAAGGACATTCATACTTAAGACCTCCCAGGCGTGGTGCAAAATACCTTAAGAACTTATGCAAAGCAGCCATGAAACTCAAAGGGAAATTACAACCCCAGAAAAAGTCATCTCCTGTAAAAAACCTCTACACTCTAGATGACTCCATAATGTAAATGAAATACTGTAAATACCAGTTTGTCCTTCATAAAAGGAATGAATTTATAAATAAACAAGTAACACAGTCTTTCGCAGATGTTGATTTTCTGGGGAGAATGAAAAATACATGGTTTCTATCTGCATCAAGAAATGGAACTTAAGTATTAAAACAGTTTCGAGATGATTTATTGTAGCAATTTGGTTCCAACTACAGGCAAATCATTTTAGATGTATTCACTGCCTAGTAACCTAGTTTGTCATGCTGGCTTTCTTCTTTGATGCTTGCATATTGTGAATATTCATTAAAAGAAAGACAGTCCTCTTGGCATCTTCATACATATGAGGAAATTTTGAATGATTACAAGACACTTTTAAAATAACAATGCTAAGGAAATCTATAGCCTAACAGAACAGGGGAGTGAGGTCTAGGTGGTAAAATGTCATACACCTTCTTCTTACATTCTTAAGTCTGTTTCTTCAAAACCATTAGGTCTGTAGTTGACACATCCCACACAGGAGGCTATAATCAGTCCCCTCTGAGTCAACATCCAGACACTACTCATGCTCTGTGATGTTTTTCCCAAATGTATGACCAAAATGCTTAAAGGTAATTATTTTTATGACTATTTTTGGAGTAGTTTTAAATTCATGGCAAAATTGGGCGGAAGAAACAAAGATTCCTATATATCTTCTGCCCCTGCACAGACCATCTCCCTTATTATCAACAGTCCCTCTCCCAAAAAAAGCAACCCCCACCGGGGTGGTATGTTTGTTATAGCAACTGGTGAACCTGCATCCAT